TGCTCTTCCGATCTTTACTCTAAACTTGTATTCCTGTTTTTAGCACCGATGCCTTAATTCAGGATACAATAAGGAAGAATTTTAAAGAATGCACCGTCATCACGATAGCACATCGTTTGAATACTATTATAGACAGCGATCGAATCATCGTGATGGAGAACGGATCTATCGTGGTAAGTATTTCATCTTAATATAAGGATTTTCATCTTGATAAAGCGTGAAATGTGTTAGGGAAAATATTGGTTTTTAGAAAAGACAGTTGAAAAATTTAATTTTCTTGTAATTTTCTTGTCTGTCTATAAAATTTATTTAATAATATAATTTTAATTAATAGCCTAATTACTTCAGTCTTTGAAAATCTAAATAAAAGTAAAAAAGTTAATCAATTTCGTGCTTGTAAAATGGACATTTAATGTTTAAATTGGTACAATTAAAATTCTAAAGGAGTTAAGATAAAATCAAATTTAAAAATTTGTCGGTTAAAATACATCTAAGAAAATTTTAAGATTTTCAAACAATTTTAAATAATCATTTTTTACAATTCACAACATGGTTCCTTTAAAATCAAATATTCTATTAAATAGTATGTATTTCTTCTTAAAAAAAAATTAGTGCTATAGAACAAAGAGCCCAGTTTTTTCAGAAATCTTATAATTCTCTCAGGATGTGATTTCTATTTGTGCACTTGTTAATCAAAATTGTCATGCCAACAGGAATTTGGTTGTCCGTACGAGCTGTTACATAACAAATCGAACGGCTATTTTGCACAAATGGTGGAGACGACAGGCAATCAAATGGCACAAAGTCTTTTGCAACAGGCGAAGAAGGCTTGCGAGAACAATAATCATTGTCATGAATTAAATTTGTCGGCGCAAAACATCGAGAGCGAGAGTGACGCCGTTATCGCAGAACAGTCCGCTTTATAGATTTTTCTATCAAAAAAATCTTATACGAAAAAATATATTTAATATTAGTTATACAACAGTGAAAAAAATTGTAATATATATATATAATATTTAAAAATGTTTGTTGTTAATTATATGTTAATTATAATATATATAATATTTAAAAATGTTTTACAAATGTTCACAAAATATTTAATTAAAATATTTAAAAAATGATTCATAAAAAGTATTTCATGCGTGTGTATCTTAATGTGTTTGACAACAATTCATCACCAGATATTATGTACAGTGTATCATATTTAAGCAGGTGTTTCGTGTTGGTTTCATGTTGATTTGATAAACCAACTGAATATACATGAGTGCCTAGAAAATGAGTATAAAGTATCTAAAGGTAACGAAAGAATATAGATTAGATTGTGCTTCAGAAAACACGAACATAACGATTTAATTGCCTACTCAGATGCGGATTAGGTTGAAGATAAGTTTGATTGTAAAAGCGGCAGTATTATTTATTTTACAGATAATTCATAATATATGGCTTGGTTCTTTAAAAGCTAGACGTGCGTTGCAAAAAGCAGCGCCGAAATCGAATACACATTAGCGTCATTAACATCTCAAGAATTAATGAACTTGTATGGTGTTTGCAAAGATTTGAATCTAAACGGATCAACTAACTTGCTATAAATAATGCTATAAGTATAGCCAGTTCCTTTGAAAATTCACAGAGATTAAATATTGATGTAGACGTACATTACATTAAAGATTTGGTTGATCAAAAAATAATTAAACTCGAATATGTACCATCCAAAATAACATTGCTAACGATTTTGCAAAGCCATTGAGTTAAAATAAGTTTATAAGATTTATTATTAATGTACAATTAAGTAATGTAATTTGATGCAAATAGAATATTAAATTTAGAATTTTTTAAGACTTTATTATATGAAAAATAATTTTTGCGTTATGTTTTATATATATATATATATATATATATATATATATATACAATAACATAACGCAAAAATTATTTTTTGCAAAAATTATATATTTATATATATATATATACATATATATTATGCAAAAATTATACTATATATATATATATATATAAAATTATACTATAAAATTATACTATATATATATATATATATATATAAAATTTCAAGAGAGACCGTTGCTAAATTTTAACATTTAAAATTGAGAGGGAGTATTAAAAATATCAATTCTAAGTTTTGTTTGGTATAAATGTCACTCTCTTGTATATATATCGCAATAAAACATGCATCTATCTGCTTGTATTTTATCAACATTTATTTAAGTCTCCTCAGCCCATATAAATTATTCAATATACTAATATGTTGCTCTCAGTTTTCTTACACATACAAAATTCGTTGTTAAAAGACGTTACAGATGGCTATCGGCTTGAAACTTGTACTGAACAACAAGTTAGAAGTGTGCGGCTCAGCTGGCGTAGCATATGCAGATAAATACAGCACTGTTATAAAGCTCTCTTGAAACCGTAAAACTTTTATTAAAACATTTTTTCATATGTTTGACGATTTAGATAATATTAAAAATCAAAAGAAATTAATTGTCAGATTTCTAACGCCGTATTCAGTTTTATTATTTTTTAGACACATTTAATGTTAGATCCAGTTACGACATGTCCACTTTCAACTTATTAAACACTACAACGTAAAGAAGTTTCTCATTATTTAAAGTTATAAATACGACAGATATTAAATAATATCGAAATAACGTGGATGTTAAATGTTTTAACAAAAAAAAATTAATTCTATCATATATAGTTTTTCAAAATTTTGAAAAAAAAAACAGAATATACCGTAAAAATAATAATAATAATTGCCGCTTGTTATTGTAAAGAGAATTATATTATAATAAATCAAATATATAAAATAAATAGACCAAAGATGAGCAATCAATGGATATAAATGTCGTTCTTTATTCTCTCATATACAACAAAATCACTAAATTTAATTAAACCTATAACTATACAAACAGCGCAATGAATGTAAATAAAATATAAATATTAGTCAATACCCAAAATTTCAAATAAAGAAAAGATTGATGAACCAAGCTAGATATTCGTGCTAACGTACATATTAAATGAAATAACAAATAATTATAAACACTAAATCGCTATACAACAAAGGTTTTGACCCTCAAATCAATGGTCAGCTTTAGTGTTATTCAAATAAACAAAATAAACAGAAATAATTAAAGTAACCGTAAACTTAGGTTCTGACATAATGCTCGGAAGAAACTTTACATATGTTCCGTGTAAATTGGTCGTCTCCAAGCAGTCGCAATGTTCCCGCAATCGCCAAATAGTCGTTTATTTAATGTCGTAATTCCTTTTTTTATTATATTCTCTAAGAATCGGTAGAAAAAAGATAAAAAGTCTTGTAATTAACGTTAATAAGTAAAAATACCAATACGTGAACCGCATTTACTAAAAGTTGTGTAAGAAGTCAACAGTCCTTACACAATATAAAATGAGACGTGCTCTGGTCGGTGTTTTGTACAACTGCGTTGTAATGAATGACATTCCAAACGAATGGAACATCTGTCGACACACTTAAAGCATAAAGATAACGTCATACTAATTGTCAAGTTTGAAAATCCTATCGTTTTCACACGATGGCCATTTTACGCGTTTATTCCGGACCATTTTATGAAATTTGGCTTCATTAGATAACACTGTTTTTTTTTTATATAATCTAGTTACAGTATAACTCCTATTCTTGGTACTCCGATATAATTTTTCACGGTATTGACTAATATTTTACATTTGTATTCATTGCGCTGCGTTAAATTTATGTAGTTAGGTTTATTAGGCGATTGAAAAAGATCTAGTAAGTTTGAAATTAATACTGCGATTTTGTTACATAAGAGAATATAAAAAATGTACATCCATGAATTGCTCGTTTTTGGCACGTTTATTATAATTTAATTGTCTTTACTGTAAAAAAAAACTGATCTTTTATTCTAAACTAAAAAAAAGAGTTGTTTTTTCGTTTCTAAATATTACTGGATTAGTTAATCGTTTGCTTTATTTTTCCTTGTATAATAATTCTATTACTGTTGCATCTTTGCGACAGCAATGTTACTACTAAAACATTTTTTTCATTTGCTGTGCATTGTTATAATTCTATTATTTTAAAAATTAATTATGAAACAGTAATAATATTAGTGACTTTATGTTATGACGTAACAGATACAATTCAAGTTTACAATTATATCTAATGAAGTTATTTTCTTAAATTAAATTGCTAACAAAGAATTCATCTGTAAATTCAACTGCTGAAGATTTTTTCTAACTAGACTTTGACTAGAAAGTAAGCTAATACCTAGTTTGTTTATCTCTTGTGCATCGTTAGAATTTTAAATATTGTTTAAAATAATAATGCTTGACTATTAAAATAATAATCTGTCTATACAGTTACTATTTAAATAACTATTGAAATAGTTAGATCTAGCAAAAAAAAATAAAGATATAATTGAAATGCAATAAAAGGGAAATAAAATTAAAATTAAAAATCAAGCTAAAAGAGAAAGGAAAAAATTCATTAAGTGGAAAGAAACAGGTGAAATGCTGCATGTGAAAGGAAAAACAAGAAATCCATTACGTAGTTGCATTTGTACAACGTACAGGACAGTTATCGTTAATGCTTCTCGTATATCATTACCTGTAACGCCGAATGCCGATATGAAAAGCAGCGACACAGTTACTGATGGTTTCAGTAAAGAATTGACTATTGGATAGCGTGCCTCGAGATACGGCAGGCAAGAGAAGAACGAACGAGAGAGGGAAAGGGGAAAAAGGAAAAAGAAGAGAAAATAAGAATGCCGATCGTTTTCGTTTTTTTCTGTTAACTTCAAGTGTCGTCAAGATTTTGTGAGATTGTGCGACAACAATAATGGATAAGGACACGAGCGACATGAAGAAAAATCCCAGGGAAACCGCAAATATCTTCAGTGTTCTATTCTTCTGGTTCGTTACAACTCTTGGCTGAAAATATATATTTAGCAAAAAAAAAAAGAAAAGTAAAATTTCTTTGTTTTTTAGGAAAATTTCTGCAAAAATGAAGAGTTTCTAAAAAGAAATATTTATTTTTTCTTAAAAAAAAGATTTTTCTTTAAAGAAGTTTCTTCTTGGTTGCAAAATTGTATTTCTTTGAAAAAAAGAAGATCTTCATATTTATGGAATCTTCTTTTCCTCAAAATAAAGAATATTTTTATTTGTATTAGCATTAGCTATTTTTCATCTTATAATACATATAACGTTTTATATTTTGCTTCAAGGAAATGGAAAAGCATTTTGTAAATTTTATTTGCTTCGATCTTTTGAATAGATATATTCTAATATGATTACATAATCAGAAAAATCAAGGATCAAAATAGGTATTTTGCGAATATCTTATATATTTTTTTATTACATTATAATACATTTACTCTGACGGCGATTAGAAAAATTGTGTCTATAAAGAAAATTAATAAATTCCCTCTTATGCGATAATAATGCAATGCAATACAATGATATGTTTATAACATATATATAAGTGTGTTAATAATACATAACAATGTACAATGTACAATGTACAATGTATAATACATTACATTTAAAATGTCTTAAACATATAAGACATAGTTAATTGAATTAATTACGGCAAATGGTAGCTAATATATAAAAAGTATAGAAAAAGTAAAGATAAAGGTATAACTCGACGTAAATTGCACGACAATCTTTTAAATAAATATATTTAAAAGATCGACGTACAATTTACGCCGAGTCATGTCATTATCTTTAGTTCTTCTTTACTTTTTACATATCATCAGCTACCATTTGTTGTAATTAATACAATTAACTATGTCTTATATGTTTAAGATATTTTAAATTGTTATGTATTATTAACACACTTATATATATGTTATACACATATATCATTGTATCGCATTGCATTATCGTATAAGAGGGATTTTATTTATTTTCCTTATAGACTACCACAATTTTTCTAATCACCGTTAGAGTAAATGTATTATAATGTAATAAAAAAATGTATAAGATGTTCGCAAAATTTTGATTCTTGATTTTTCTGATCATATAATCATATTAGTATTAATGAAAGATAGAATTATTATATTATATTCCCTTCAATTTAAATTTATAATTATTATAATTATGAATAATTATTTCGAGACATTTTAATTACAATTTGATGATTACAATTTGCGACAAAAAATTTATATTTAGTTTGTTCGCGAAATATGCATCAGAATACGTATTTAAAATCTATAATTTTTCTTTACTTTTTATTGTAATATATATCTGTCATTATTACACGGAAAGCACGATTTTGTTGAAAGGTCTAAACATTTTGCTAAATACAGATCTGAAAATAAATTTTTGTTGAATCATCAAAATAATTTGTTGGAAAATTAAAAGTAATAAGCATTGCTATAAAACGTTTTGATTTACTATAGCAATCATTTAGACTTTCTAACAAGATTATTTTGATTATTGAATAAAAATTATTTTCAGATCTAAATCCAGCAAAATTGTTCTTTCCGTGTAACTGAAAGAAAAAGGAGAAAAGAGACATTGCCAATTTTTTTACTGTAATACAATAAAATATACTGATTGTTTGCGATTCGTACAGGTGGATGCGAGAATTATTTATGACAGGCTCCAAACGTGATTTGGAGGAATCTGATATTTATCGACCAATTAAAGCAGACGTATCCGAAAAACTAACCGATCATCTCGAGAAGTAAGTATCGTCTGCGTTGGTAACAAGTAAACGTACCATTAACGAACACATATTATGATAACACTTGTTGTACATTATTGTAACACTTGTAGCTGTCATTTTCGCTGTACACACACAGAATATAAGAAACGAATCTCAATAATAATTTTTAAATACAAGTACAATTTATATTATACATAATATCTATTCTATTTTGCTGCAACAATCTTCTGTATTATTCTTGAAAGTGAAAATGCAGCTGAACATGGCAAAAAAATAAAATTCGTAACATTTAATAGTAAATCAATCTCCCCACTTTTCTGGAGTCGCGCATAACGCACTTAACGCATTTTTTTTTCGTTTAGATACTGGAATCGCGAGCTCAATAAACTGAAGAATCTGGAATACACCGTGGGCAAAGACGGGCAGAAGGTGCCGCTAAAGAAAGACGCTCGTCCGAGATTATACAAAGCAATCTGCAAAGCCTTTTGGTTACCATATATCATAATTGGAATCTGCACATTTATACAAGTATATTAATACCCTTGGAAAGAGAGATATTGTGATATATACTTACTAATATTGAAATAATATATACTCACTAATATTTGCGACATTTAGACGACAAGTGTATTCATGGTAAAAGGAAGCATTGGAAGATATTCCCACAAAGAGGAAACAGTTGAAAAATTTGCTCCAATAGACATCAATCTCTCGTTAGATTAGTTAATAATAAAGAAGAGACTAATTGTTAATCCGATCAGGGGACACAATTAAGTGTTTCCCTCCAATTTTATAATAAATATGTTAAAATATGTTAAATATAGACAAAAATAAGATAAGTGTAAGACACGTATTTTTTTACAAGTTAAAATGGTAAAATCATCCTTTGAAGAAAATCAGTTTTTTCTTTCCAAGTAAATATTTAATCCGTCAAAAATATAAAAGAAGATTTAAATAAAAGTTTTATGGTTTTAAGTGCGCTTTATAATGATACATTTAAATTTTTGATAATTAAGCATAAAGATGATTATGTACTAAGAAATATGTTACCTTCAAAAATTAAAATGCGTTATAAAGCCCACTTGAAACTCGTTAAACTTTTGTTTAGAATATTTTTTTCATATTTTTGACGGTTTAGATAAAGTTTAAAAAAATTAATATTTTTCAAGAGAGAACCTTTTTTATCCTTTTAATGTGCAATTGAGAATTTAAAAAAGAAATACGTGTTTCTAAGCTTTTCTTGTCTTGTATTTTAACATAAAGCTTATTATAATCTGGGAATTAAATTGATTTTAAGAGAACACTTGATCGTATAGATTATCGCTGTCTTTCTCTCTCTCTCTTTTCTTAGATTTATTAGATTTAAACCCGTTGGAATCATTAAATTTCAACATTTCTGCTTTCAGTGCGGCGTAATACGCGTGATAGTGCCGATCCTTCAAGGTTGGATTATCGACTACTTCGCCAGAGATTCCACCTCAAAATATAAGATAAAGATGAACGAGGTGATGATCTACGTCGCCCTTATGGTCCTTTGCAGTGTCATCTCCGTTATGTTGATGCACCATACGATAATGCTGTCGCTGCAGATCGGCATGAGGATACGCGTCTCCTGCAGCTCCCTCCTCTATCGGAAGGTAACGTTGCGGATTAATTTGCGAGTTCCATGCGTTGATCCAAGTTATTCCCATGAAAGTAGCTCCTTTCTAGTCGGAAAAAGTGCATTGTATTTGCTTTAAGCATTGATTGTATAACACTTCTATATAGAATCGTCGGATCAACGTGCAAAATTTATCAACGTTGGAAAATGTTGATCTCTAAATAAGAATTCAATCTTTGGATTATTTTGCGAGGAGACCGGTTTCAATGCCGGAAAAATTAGTCTAAACCAGTTTTTTTTGCCAGCTTAAAGAAGTGACTGGCCGCACTGAGTTCGTTATCTCGCACGTTTTATTGCCTTTTGCTGTCAGTTGTTTGCATACACTCGTTATCGAGCATTTTCGAGCACCTTGCGGAAAGATATAGAATTCAAGGCGTTCGAAATGTAGAATAAATACGCCAGTAAATGACAGCTTAACACGAATGACGATTTTTTTTCCTCCATAATTATTCTGAGCAATTAAAATAACGTACATTTTGGATACCTATTTCTTACACTGTTAATTATTATTAATGATCTAATAATATAAATTGATACAGTTATACTTTTTATCGCACACACTAACATTGTTTTCTATAAACGTGTAATTTTATAAGTATGAATATTCGCAAATTATTCACAATTATTCATTAATAATTCCCTACCTTCGATTTCTATAGAGGCTTGTTTCGATGTAAGATTTTTCCAATTTTTAAATTCCAATTTTCGTAGCAACTTCGAAACACTTTTTTGGTTATATGCATATGCAAAATAGTCGAGATCACCAGGGAGCCACAAATACGTCATTATAGTTATTACAGTTTAAAAATATGACAAATGAATACATGGCGATTGGTCGTAAGCCTGATATCTTCTTCATTAGGCATGTCCTTCGACTTCAACTGATAGCACGTTTGCTGGTACCCCGCGAATATGCATCGCGGAATGACACATGTCTTCCGAGCACACTTATCTCTTTCAAAATACAGCGAGAATACGTAAATGGTGAAAAACCCAACCAAATGGAAAATAACAGTTTTGACTCGTTGCAATAACAAATAGAAAACTAGTTCACAATATTCAATGTTCAAAATATTTTATTTCTAATATCTTAAATTTAAATGTTTTTTTTTCAATTTATATTAATTAAACTTTATATTAATGCAATTTTTTTAATGTGTCCTTGTATTATTTTATGATATTATATCGCATAAGTTTTTAAGGTCTTTAAATTCATTCAATGTATGCAATATGAATGGTGGCATTTTAACCGACTTTTAACTTCTTTGATAACTTGTAATACTTATAATAATGACATTTAGGAAAAAAAAACGTTGCTGGAAAAAGATAACAGCAAGAAAAAGTTAAAAAAAAAAACTTTTGTTCACCAAATATATGTTCTCTTCTTTTACAATTACTATAACAGATTTTACTATTTTTTATTTTAAAATTGTTGCAGTTATTACGATTGAACAGAGCATCCATGAACCAAACAGGTACAGGACAAATCATGAATCTTCTCAGCAATGACGTCACTCGCTTCGATCAATTAACTTCATTCCTGAATTACATATGGATCATGCCTATTCAGGTAATTTTTTTATCTCGTGAAAAATATATTTGCGTACATTCCGAGATATTTAAACAGTTCACTTCAATCATAATTTTTTTTAAATTAAAATCGACTAAATTAATTAATTTCTCTCATAAATAATTAATAAGTATGTCTCTTAATAATTGTAGTCTGTTTCATAAAAAAGAGTATTCGTATCTATTTGTATGCATTCATGCATTTTACCCCTTTTATAAG